TTCATCTCCACTGCCCCAAGGCTGGCTGAGGCGCTCCGGCCACTCTTCGACAACGTAAGGCTCTGTGCCCCCCAGCCACGGGCACTGGCTGCTGCCACGAAACTTTGTGCTCTGTGGCTGTTCAGGCCTATGCCTGTACCTGGTTGGCCTGGAGCATCCAGTGCTGAGGTCTTTTTCTGCTCTTTTTCTCCTCTGTGCCCATGTGCAGCTGTCCTCCTTTCGGTTCTTCCAAACGGTGATGGAGGTACTGGTGGAACGGGGAACAAAGCCCTTGGAGATGCAGGTGCACCAGAGCCTGGTGCTGTGGTTCTTCCTGCAGTATGATGAGCACCAGTGCGTGGCAGAGGTGAGCACTTGTGGGCTCTGGGGTCCCCGTGGCAGGGGCTGGGCTGCCTCCTGCCCTGGGGTTTTGTGGGCTCCAGCCTCCTCCTGGCCAGGGACCAAGACCTGGCCACAGAAACTCAATACAGCTCCCATTCAGGATTTTTATGGAGGGGAAAGGTGTCTCCAATTGGCAGCAAGTAAGCAGCCTGTGGCCAGGGCTCAAGTGCCCCAGGGGTTTCTTGGCCTCTCATGCCAGGTCTGCTGGCCCCCTAAGCTTTTGAGGCCAGCAGAGTGTGGTGGGAAGGGAAGCACTTCTCAGGGAAGCTGGACAACCTGCTCCCTCTGGCAGCTCCCCAACTGTCCCCCCCTGCCTCTCCAGGTGCCGACCATCGTGAGATCCATGCACCAGTGCCTCACCTCCCCCATGGCTCCAGATGGCAGGACCCACAATAACATCCGCAGGCTCGCTGAGGCACACCCACGGGATGTGGTGATGACTCTCCTGTGCTGTGCCCCAGAGTGTGACAGGTACAGGGCCCAGCTGCCTTGCTGGCTCAGGGATCACCCACCCTTACAACCCATCACCCTGGAGAGCCTGTCCCATGTGGTCTGACAGACAGATGGAGAGTTCCAGGGCCCTCAGACCCCTCCATTTCCCAGCCTTGGCCTGTCAGCCCCTTATCCTGCTGCCACGTGCCCTCCCTGCCCCTCAAGGCACCGTGGCTCTGTCACCTGGGCCCCCACAGCTGCCCAGGCCACGGTGCTGGGGCAGACACCCCCCTGACCCAGAGCTCTGGCTCCACAGAGCTGCTGCAGTGATGTGGAGAAGCATCGCCTCCTCGGGAACAGCAGTGGAGAAGGTGCTGCCAGTACTGCTCCAAGTGATGGAGGATTGGCCAGTGCACGGAATGTCCACCTCCGATGGTGACAGCAGAGATGTGTTTGCCCTGGCTGTGAGTTTCTAGAAGTAGCCTCTGCTCCTCCCCACATCACCTACCCCACCACTGCATCTCCCTGCTTCAGGCCTTGGGCTGCAAATGTGGCTGAGGGGCAGGTTCAGGAGCACCAGGCCGGCTGCTCACCCTGCCTCTCCCCTGGCCTCTCCCTCCCACACTCAGGCCCTGACACATGGACATCTCCCACTGAGAGCTGTCTCTGCGTGCTTTGATTGCAGGCAACCCTGGCACTGTGGCCGATCATCCGGGAGCCCAAGTGCCAGGATGCAGTGATGAATTGTGTCCCCCGCCTGCTCGTGGCTCTGCTGTTCCAAGTGTCCATGAGCACAGAGCAGGTGCCAGAAGAGGTGAACACCTTCTGGAGGGGATGCCTGGAGCAACGCCGCCTTCCCACCCAGCCCAACAGGTGCTCCATCCCAGTCCTCTCTCCCTGCCATGCCCTTGGGGCTGGGGCCAGGGCTCCCAGCATGACCTGGCCTTTTTGCTCTGCACACAGGTTTTTGGTACAGACCATCAAGGCCCTGCTCTGCTGTCTGCAGTGGGAGGATATTTTGATGGCAAGGAAGCGCAAGCTTGCCTGGGACCCATTCGTGAATTCCAACCCCCACTACTATGCAGTGGGTCTGCATGTCAGGTGAGACACCCTTCTCTGGGCTGGCACTTTAACCTCTACCCTGGGCACAGAGCACCCCACACAGCCCCCATGGGCGTTGGGCAAAGGGCCTTGGCCCCAAGGGATGGCCAAGCAAATTGGAAAAGGCTGTGAGATGCAGGTGCACAGGAGGAGCCACCTGCCAAAGTGCCCACGTCCTGTCCTTGGCTGCTGGGGAAAGACCAGGCCTTCATGAGTCAGTGCTGGGAGAGCTTTGCCCACCCTGCTCAGGGTCCATGGTTTTCCCCTGACAGGGAGATGCGCCGCCAATTGACCACCTCCCATTCCCCCATGGCAATCCACCTGCTGGGGCTGCTCAGCACTGAGGACCCCCGTTGGGAGCTGCCTGCCCTGGAGTTCCTTGTCGAGGTGAGCCTGATGGCGAGCGCTGCCTGGCCCGGCTGCCTCCCCCTCTCTGCCCTCTGGCAGCCGCAGCTGCCCGGGACGGTGCCTGTGCCCTGTGCTGCTGCCTGGGCACAGCCCTGGGCGGCTCCGGGCTCCTGCTGCCCGGGCACCTTGTCACTGCTCTCTGCCTTCCAGGTCCTGGACCATCTGGACGGAAGGAGATGTCACAGCAGTGTCGAGCAGATCCTGTCAAGGAACCTGCAGAGCGAGTGCCCAGAGAGACGTCGCCTGGCTCTCAGAGGCCGCATGGTGCTCTGGATGGATCTGTCAATGGTGAGAAGGAGACACCGGGCTGAAGCCACACCGGCAGCCTGGGGCTGGGGAAGGCAGTCTCTTGGGCTTGGCTGGGCTTTGGGAGATGTGGATGCTCCTCCCAGCTCTCCTGCCTCCCTGTGCAGCTGCCTGGGCCCTGTGGGACAGGCCTTTGGCCTCTGGGCCCCGGGGCAGCAGTGTGGGGTTGCACCACCAGAGAGCTGTTGGTGGGGCAGCTGTTCAGGGTTTCACAGCACAGCACTGTGTTCCACACAGGCTAAAAGCATCTGCAGCCTGTCCCAACACCTCCTGGAGCTGCTGCCTGATGCAGACGGAGAGCTGGTCGTGATGGCCCTCTCTGTGTTTGAGAGTGTGCTCCGGGACAAAGACAGTCGGGCGTTCATCTCCACTGCCCCAAGGCTGGCTGAGGCGCTCCGGCCACTCTTCGACAACGTAAGGCTCTGTGCCCCCCAGCCACGGGCACTGGCTGCTGCCACGAAACTTTGTGCTCTGTGGCTGTTCAGGCCTATGCCTGTACCTGGTTGGCCTGGAGCATCCAGTGCTGAGGTCTTTTTCTGCTCTTTTTCTCCTCTGTGCCCATGTGCAGCTGTCCTCCTTTCGGTTCTTCCAAACGGTGATGGAGGTACTGGTGGAACGGGGAACAAAGCCCTTGGAGATGCAGGTGCACCAGAGCCTGGTGCTGTGGTTCTTCCTGCAGTATGATGAGCACCAGTGCGTGGCAGAGGTGAGCACTTGTGGGCTC